AAAAAAACCCAATCCAAAAATGGGCAGAAGACCTAAAATAGACATTTATCCAAAGAATATATACAGATTGTCAACAAACACATGAAAGGATGCTCAGCATCACTCATCATCAGAGAAATGCAATTCAGAACCACAATGAGGTATCACCTCACACCATTCAGAATGGCCATCATCAAAAAATCTACAAACAAATGCTGGAGAGGGTGTGGAGAAAAGGGAACCCTCTTGCGCTGTTGGTGGGAATGTAATTGATACAGCCACTATGGAGAACAGTATGGAGATTCCTTAAAAAAAGAAAAATAGAACTACCATATGACCCAGCAATCCCGCTACTGGGCATATACCCTGAGAAGAGCATAATTCAAAAAGACATATGCACCCCAATGTTCATTGCAGCACTATTTACAATAGCCAGGACATGGAAGCAAGCTAAGTGTCCATTGACAGATGAATGGATATAGAAGATGTGGCACATATATACAATCGGATATTACTTAGCCATAAAAAGAAACGAAATTGAGTTATTTGTCATGAGGTGGATGGACCTAGAGTCTGTCATACAGATTGAAGTAAGTCAGAAAGAGAAAAACAAATACCGTATGCTAACACATATGGAATCTAAAAAAAAAAAACTTGGTTCTGATGAACCTAGGGGCAGGACAGGAATAAATACACAGATGTAGAGAATGGACTTGAGGACACCGGGAGGGGTAAGGGTAAGCTGGGACGAAGTGAGAGATTAGCACTGACATACATAACACTACCAGCTGTAAAATAGATAGTGGGAAGCAGCTTCATCACACGCACAGAGGGATCAGCTCAGTGCTTTGTGACCACCTAGAGGGGTGGAATAGGGAGGGTGGGAGGGAGATGCAAGAGGGAGGGGATATGGGGGTGATATATATATATACATATAGCTGATTCACTTTGTTATACAGCAGAAACTAACACAACATTGTAAAGCAATTATACTCCAATAAATATGTTAAAAAAAATACATACCTATATATAACAGAGAAGTATATCCCCAAGAAAAGGAGTTGAGAAAAAATGACATTTAGGATAGTCATTTGGCTCACCTTTCATGAACTGGATGTGGAATACCTGCCACTATGCTTCAGAAATAAAAACTATAGGAAGTTTCATTTAAGGTGTAGAAATATGTTTATAAGAATTACTAATAAACTGCAAAATTTAAGGACAAACTACAAGTTTGACATTTAGCAACTTGTCAGTTATCTTGATCTTTTTTTTAAGAGATCATGAAGCATCTCCGTGGAATTCTTAAAATTTGCCACAGAAACTATTTACACCCTTATCCCTGTAAGTTATAGTGAAAACTGTACACACACCCATATTATTTTGATGTGTCTTACAGTTGGAGATGTGTGAAGACATCTATAACAAAACAGTTGAAGAGCATTTTGCGCACATTTGAAATAGAAGTTTATAGGCCAGGTAGTTGTTTTTCACAGTAAATAATGAGCCTTCTTCCTATTTTACATCATTGTCTGCTTTCAGATTGGGGCTTCATGTATCAGTGATGCTTATAAAGACACCTTTCGCAGATTGACGAAGAAACTTATTCAAGAAAAATAATAAAAAACCTAGATAGTAGATTATTTCTAGCATATTAATACTTTCTAGATGTGTAGGGGAAAAAGGAGCAATATGTTTCATTCATCTTTTCTGTATGTGATTTATCAGTTCATTTCTCCTCCAGTCTCAGTCTCATTTTCTTCATATATGTGGTTTTTCTCCATTGAAATTATTATATTCATTTGAAAACTGTATTTGCAAATGATAAACATATAACTTTGTATTATTTAAAACTATACTTACTAAATGCTTGAGTTCTTGTTGTTTCATAACAGTGTGCTTAGTTACTGTGGGAAACAAGAAAACAAGATAATTTCTGCCCACCAAAGAGCACAGAATCTAGTATAAGATAAATGGACATGTGTGACCAGGTAGGGTAGGGATGGGAGGATTTAGATGTAAGTATAGAGTTAATATTCTCCAGATTCCAAATAGAAACTAGTTTCATGATTAGGAAATACTTTTATATATTGTCACAGTAGCATGGCCATGTGTAGGCGAGGCCAGCATAAGAGCGGACCAAGTTGGGGTAGGAAATGTCTTTAAATCCTGGCCCTAGAGGATTTAAAAGAATCTTTCCAGTCTTTTGAAGTCAACTACAGGTACAGAAACAATAAATAATTTATGTTTGTACTTACTGCATATATAATCATCTCTTTAGACTTCCAAACAACTGCTAGTGTTCAGATAACATGTTTTTCTAAAGAAATATTTTATATTCGAGTACCAACAGTCTTAGTAACTCTCTTATCCCTCTTATGTGCTGAGTGCAGTCGGAGGAAGAGGAATTGGAGTTGGTGAGTGTGGGTTTCTGATTGAAGGGAGTTGAAAAAGATGTAGAAAGTACTAATTCTCTTCAGTGTTTTTATCTAATATTCCCTTTGTTACACAGATTTTTTTTTCTTGCTATTAAATACTGTCCAAACATTTTGAATAACTAAACCAACCTACGGGTACTGCAGAGTCTGGTTTTCCTACTTATAATTGTATATCTTGACCCATTTTATTTGTTACAACTTTTTAGGGAACTTTGGGGTAGAGCCTTTATAAACAATAGCTGTCCATGATGCGAAGACACATTAAAGAATTTTTTTAAGGAAAGATGCAGAATACCTTTTATAGTTCCCCAAATTATTAACATATTTTTAGAAAATGACTTCACCCTCACAGTTCCTCAGATTGTAACACACTGTCTTGTGTTTCTCTTTCTTTCAAAAAGATTACATCATTTTTGGTGAGGTCACCTTTTTTCACAGAGTTAGAATTATTTCATCCTGCATGAGACGATCTGAACCACAAGGGGGTTCCCTGTTTATTAAAATGAATGTCTTTAATTTAACATACACAAACTTACTTTTTTTTCTATCAGAAGATATTCTGTTCTTAAAAGTAGCTATTACCTTTTTTCTAAAACAAATGATTTCTATTGGCTTTTTTTCTAGAAATTAAATTTGACTAAAAATAACTTTCAGTTGATATATTTCTTTGGGAACTAAAACTCAAATCTCACAGAACTGATCTTCTGATTTCACAGTCAGCTGCTAATTAGGTGACCTTAAGGGGAATAAAAACTTGAAAATGTTTAGTTTTTAGCATGGACAGAGGTTTAGATTGCATGAAAGCATGGGGGAAAGGCATCTGTTCATTTTGTTTACATTTTATTATTATATATATATATATATATATATATATGCATGCTGGTATGTTTTGCACAGTTGCTTTCTTTTCAGATAAGGTTGTCTGTGCTCTGTCCTTAAAACGAGAGATTGTTCTTTAACTTTGTGTTCACTCTCACAGTTTTGGATGTGGTTTCATATTGGTTAACTAAAATATACTAGCCAGCTTTTGTTGTGGTGTTGGATTATATCATGTGCAGATTTTAACTATCTTTTGGGGAAATACTTTACTTAATGATACAGTAATGATTAGCAAATGGATGTTTATAGTTCAAGATAAAATAATTCATCTTAGATTAAACCTCACTATTTATACCCTTAAGAAGTTATCATGAGTGCTTCCTTGTGAACTTACGAATTATCTAGCAATATGTTGCCCTCTAGTGGTTGTGGAAATCAGTGCCATTGAGCTTTAATGGGTAGAACCGATATATTAGAGTGTTACTGTTTTACACACACACACACACCCCATCCCACCCACCCCCCATCTTGAGGTCACATCAGTAGATTTCCATGGAGGTGAAGCTATGGCATGGACAAAGCTAGACCAAACCATGTTGTACTATATTTTTCACCTAGTATTTGACTCTTGAAGTTTCAGTGACCAAATCTGTGAGAACAAATTAAATCCAAAGTAGATCTGTCTCAAAAATTCATTAAAATTTTCAACTTGATGCTGAGACAAAAATGTATTCCTTTCCACATTCCTTAAAGTATACCCTCAATTACAGAATCTCAAAGGTAAATTTCTAAGTATTTGAAGACTATAAAATCTAGCAATCATAAAAATACTTGTAATTAAGAAACAAATATATAACCAAAAACTGTATACAGTCATTCGCATTTCTAAAACTTAAGCTAATTCAGACTCTAAAACTTAATCAATTTAAAATGCAGAGCTTTATGTGTCAGACCAAAATATAATCAGAAACACAATCTATTAGAATAAGAGTCAGGAGACTGTGTGTGAATCTGCCGTTAAAAAACAGTCAATGTTGGATGATGGGAGAGGCTCTGCATGTATGGGGGCAGGGAGTATATGGTAAATCTCTGTACCTTTCCTTCAATTTTGCCGTGAACCTAAAACTGCTCTTTTAAAAGAAGTCTTTAAAAATCTATATCTAAATATATACATACATATACATGTACATATGTGTGTGTGTGTGTGTGTGTGTCGACTGCAGGATCACAGGGAAGGAAATATGAATACAAGCTGAACTTTAGTAAGCCATGACTTAAAACCTTGTTAATATGTAAATGCTGCAAAAAGTAGTTTTGATCCCTATATGCTCATGGACTTATAATCTCTATATATACAAATGACCTTGCTATCCTCGGCTATTTAAAATCTACACATATTTTATTTAGGGTAGTTTAGCTATCTTTATAGTGGCATCAAGTCCTCATTTATGCTAACACATAAGTGTTATCAGTCCTAATGCAGTTTTCTATTTTAAGGGTATATCTCTGACATCAATAAACTCTATGAAAAAGACTCTAGGGGAAACTGAATAATTAATGTAAAATATGTCCTTTAAAATTAAATATTTAGTTATTCTTATTAGTATTTTTAAGGTTTTCACATGATCACTGCTTCAGGGAATAATGACATTCACATCATAAAACTGTGAAAAATGTCACTTTTAAATTGAATGTTATTTTTAAAATATTTTGAATATAAATACTCACAGAATAACACTTTTACTTTTTTCTTCTCTCTCACAGAATACCCAGAGGATAAGCAGTTCTCAAGCCACTCAGCCCCTAGCTACCCCCGTGGTGTCTGTGACAACCCCTAGCCTGCCTCCGCAGGGCCTGGTGTACTCAGCAATGCCAACCGCCTACAACACTGGTAAGCCTACTCTGTTGCCTTTTGTGGGTTTTATTTCTTTGTTTTGTGCTCAACATGTGCTTTTATGATTTTTAAATAGTATATTTATTGAAATAAGTTATTTCCAGTTTCTTAGATTCACATTTGGACATGTTAAAGAAACACATGCTAGTCTTGAAAAAAATTAGAAAATACACATTGATCATAGAAAAATTTCCCAGCATGAACTTTTACTTACCCCTGATGAAGAAACAACTAGCTGTTATCAAAATTATGGTATGCAGCAAGCGGAGCAAAAGGCTCGGCATTTTCTATATAGTTCTTGTTAAACAGCATCTCACTGTTCCAGGCTTTTAAAATAAGGTGTTTTTCTGTATGCTGTGTCAACCTACCTTGGGAAAGACTGAGTCCCTTTGGACCTCAGGGCTCGGGGAGGTGGAGCTGGGTGGCTGTGCCAGCAGGTCATGTTTTCCTCCGTGTGACACCCCTTTTGGTTTCTGCTGTTTGTGCCTGAGGGACAAGACCAGGAGCTTTCTTGTTTCTCCTCAGAGTCTGTCAGTCGTCACCTCTGAGGGAAGCTTTTCACTCATTCATGCTTATTTAGACATTTCACTCCCAAATACCCTATTTGGAGGGTATATCAGGCAAATTTAAGAATGCTGCAGTGACTGAAGGGGTGCTTTCAGCCACACAGGCTGTGTGGAGAACCCGACGTGCACAGGTTTCTCTAGATGTGCCATTATAGGGAGTGGCGGAGGACATATGGGGCTTCACTTTCTCACCAGCTGAGCCAAACACCTGATGCTTCAAAAGAAGGAAAGAGGGAAATAGTTAAAAATACCTTGCCAGTTTTTCAGAGACTACAGTGCAGAGAATTTATTCTTTTGTGATTCTAATAAGGAGACTAATAAAAATCATCTAACTTTAGACTTCAGGGTAAATGCTGTAGCACGGTGCTTTCACCCTGCTCTCTGGAGCTCCCAAAGGGGTGCAGAGCCATCAATACATTTGATTGCTGCTTTAATTCCAAGTAGTTCTTTTAAAACAGAAATAACTTTAAAAGGTTTTGTTGAAAAAGAAAGCCTCTTAGAAAATGTCTACTACCTTTTCCAACAATCAATATGAAAAAAAATGTCCAAATCCATCAGCTAAATCTAGAGTAAAGCCAGGGATTATGCATTCATATAAATTCTGTTTCATTGTCCTGATCACCAGCGATATGAGCAACACTATTCTAGGGACATACATTTTCTCCCAAGTTTATTCTGGAAAAGGAGACAGGACATACCTAAGTTGGTAACTATGGCGGGGAAGTCCTGAGTTGTTGAGGTTACCAGTTCATACTCTGATCTCGAAAAGGTGAGGAAAGAAGGAAATCTGTGAGCTAGAATGTTCAGAGGAGTGTTGGCTGAGGAGATGGGGCTTGAGCAGGGTGTCAACATTAGATTACAGTTTACTGAGCATTTCATGACAGGTTTTTCCAATATTCAACTTAGATATCCCCCTGTATTTGTTTTTAGAAATGCCATGGGATTTAAAGAATCTTTTTTTTTTAAGTCCAGAAGGAATTACCAAAACATAAAAATGGAGTCAGGTTCTTTCGAAACTGTCCATCACTTAGCATCAGTCTCACTCCTTCTTCAACTACATAGTCTTTGCTCTCTCTCAGAGCACCTATTCTGTTTAATGTTACCACGTTATCTTTAATGTATTTATCTATTTGCCTTTTTAAAACATGCGTCCATGTTTTGTCTTTCGTTAGTATATCAGCTACGTTGTATGTGTGGCATGTGTCAAACACATGCCAGTCAGTCAGTACAGGGATGAATAAATAAGCAACATTTCAAAGAGTACAATAGTTCTGTGCGGAGGAATCATATAGATGCTTCCTCATGCCCATCCATAACACTCCCAGCTTCTCCACTTATTCATGGATCCATTCAGCACATATTTATTGAACACATACTGTGTAACAAGCACCGTGCCAGGCACTGGAAATACAAGAGTGCGTGGTTAACAGTGGAATGTATCAGAGGAAAAGACACAGGACAAACAGCTCTAGGAATAATTTATTACTGTCATGTTAAGGGCTTCACTGAAGCTTCAACCTGAAGGAGCACGCATGACTCAGCCAGGCAGAGTAGGGAGAGTGTTCCGGGAAGAGGGAGTACTGTGTACAAAGGTTAGGAGGCAGCAGGAGTGTGGCTGGAGGGATGGGACGGCTGTAGAGTTGAAACTACAGAGGTAAGTAGGGATGCATAAGGCTTGTTGAGGACTTTGGACATGAGAAGCATTGAGAGCATTGGACATGAGAAGCATTGAGAGCATTGGGAAGCCATAGAAAGGTTTTAAGCAGAGAGATATCATGACCATTTTCTTTTTTGAGATCACCTGGCTACAGTGTGCATGGGGCAAAAGTGAATTCAAGGACACCACACAAGAGGCTACTGTGATGGTCCAAGTAATGGATACTGATGGCGTGAACTAGGGTGGTGGCAGTAGAGACGGTGAAACTTGGGCAGGCTTGAGAGACAGTAGCTAGAGTCAACCAGACATGATGGTTGGTGGTGGAAGTAAGTACCAAGGGTAACACCCACAGGTTTCTGGCACGAACAGTCATGTGAAAGTTGGTTCCATTTACTAAAGAGAAGCAGGTTTGGAGGAAATGATGAGTCCACTTGGGGTCATGTCACATTTGAGGTGTGTCTGGAGAGACATCCAAGTAGACATGTCAAATAAGTAGTTGGAAGGACTTGGAGGCACTGTGGAAGGCACAGTGTGATGGGCCCCCACCCCAGCTTCTGTGGGGAGGGACGAGGCAATCTTAGAGAACACTAAATGAGAAAATATCCTAAGCAGAGCTATGCTGTTTCAACTCAGTTTCTTTTTTAAAAATGCTAATTCACTAGGAAGACCAATTTCTTTAAACACCTCTCTTGAGACATGAAAAAGAAGTTAGAAGAGTTTTTGCCTCCTCTCTTTAGAACTAACTGGAAAAGACAAGTGTTAATGATGAACTGAAATAACTCTACGTGTGAATGATAACTAACATCCCAAGTCTTGGTCACAATGATTATGACTGAAGCATTCATGTATATTATGTCTTGTAACAGTTTTTTGATGAACTTTCATTTTGCATGCAGTCAGGGATCTTTGACAGTTCCTGTACTTCGAAAAAACGCAGTCATTTAATTGTGTGATAATGTAAATAAATACTGTCTATGTCACTAAGCTTGGCACCCCATGAGAAGGGGTCCTGAGTCCTGCTCCCCCTGTACTTCAAGAATATGAGATGTGCTGATTTAGATGGAGTCAGGGTGAGCTGGAGTGTTTCTCTTTGTTCAGGAGGGTAGCAGTGGGCATATTTATTTAAAATAACAATTGTATAGGAACATCCTTTAGTGATGGCATTTTTATTATTTTTATTTACAAGTCCGGAAGAAGTATCTCAACTTCTTGTAAAATAATAAACTATAAATATTCAGTACAAAATTGAAACCTTTTTTATTGAAATAATCCCAGACAACTGAATACAGCTAGGTCCTATAAACCTCCCCAAAGAAAAATTTTTTGTGGGTTTTAGACCCATAAGTGCATTGTTTGATGTTATGAAGTACCTAGCTTCTCTGAACATAAAACTTTTGAAGCAACTAATTGAAAAACAGATTTTGCATGGTCCTTTTATTACACACACAAGCAACATTTCCTTCTTTTTTAGATTACTCACTGACTAGTGCAGACCTGTCGGCCCTGCAGGGCTTCAACTCCCCAGGAATGCTGTCTCTGGGACAGGTGTCAGCCTGGCAGCAGCACCATTTAGGACAAGCGGCCCTCAGCTCTCTCGTGTGAGTAACTAGAAATTTTCCCCAAATCTGTACCCCTATTCCCCAACCTCTGTCTCATTCCACTGTTTAAAGAAAGGCAGCCTGAAGGTATTCCGGCCTACCTACCACCCTTCTCTTTTTTTGCCTTGGTTAACATCAACAGACAAAGAGAATAAGAAAATGAGCTGTGCCCTTTGCTTTCTCCCTGGATCGTAGGGGAGGAGTGGTAGGGCTTGGGTATCTTATGTATGAATCAAGCTACATGGGATTCATGTGGTTGATCCCAGCCCACTGCATACACTGTATACCTCACCAAGAAGGGTTCACAAAAGAGAATGTTCCTTATGGACAGTGTGTGGGTATATAAGTGAAAAAGGTTTACAGTGGTGCCCAGGTAGGACCAGGCATCACCAGCAGAAGGAATGGTGCTTCAGTAGAACCAGAATAGTCAGCCCACAGAGCAGCTAGAGGAGAACATCCTAGATGAGGGGACAGCATAGCAGGCCCACGTGGTCTCCATGAGGGTTGGCTGCCTCGCCCCTGCTCAGGACACTTGGGACACCCAGCCTCCTAGCCTCCTGTCCTGAAAATCCCCAGAGAGCTTCCCTGCATCCTGAAATAGCTTCACAATGCATACTGTTATCAGTCTTCTTGGGAATTATGTCATGGAGAAAGGCGCAGAGTATCTGAGGGAAATTTCTTTGCGTACACAGGTGTTTGGCCCTCGGGCCTTTGCAGAGCATCCTAAATGAACACACTAAAAATAGCCATGCAAAGGCAAGTGGAAAAGGCTTGGTGCTCAGACTGGGGGGAAAGCCTGTATACACTCTACTGTGTCCTACTCTGAGCAAGTCACTTAGCCTTTCTGAGACACTTTCCTCATCTGGAAAATAGGGTGACATGACTGACTTCTGAGAGCTGCTGTGAGAATAGGTGACATGTTGTGCCTGTCACAGAAGCAGCAGAAAGGAAGAGAGGAAGCAGAATTCAAGTTGCCATATTGTTCCTCTGCCATTCTGGTCCATTTACAGCATTAGTCACTGACACTGTTTTGGATCCTTCAGCTACAGAAGTACCAAGACTATGGGTAACAGGACCAGTCACTAAAAATCTCAACTGTACTTGTTTTTTGTCTACCAGGGATATATAATTTTTTTCTGTGCCAAGCACTGCAGGAAACACCAAAACTGGTCTTGGGGAATTCTGACAGTATTTCAGACCCTGGACTCTCTTCAGTCGGGTGGTGTCTGTAATATTCCATTTATGCAGATGCACTCACAAACCATCTACCATATCTTTTTTTTTCCTTCAGTGCTGGAGGGCAGTTATCTCAGGGTTCGAATTTATCCATTAATACCAACCAAAACATCAACATTAAGTCAGAACCAATTTCACCTCCCCGGGATCGAATGACCCCATCAGGCTTCCAGCAGCAGCCTCAGCCACCGCCGCAGTCACAACCCCCCCAGCCGCAGCAGCAGCCGCAGCCGCAGCCGCGGCAGGAAATGGGCCGCTCCCCTGTAGACAGTCTGAGCAGCTCGAGCAGCTCCTATGATGGCAGTGACCGGGAGGACCCGCGGAGCGACTTCCATTCTCCGATTGTGCTTGGCCGACCCCCAAACACTGAGGACAGAGAGAGCCCTTCCGTAAAGCGAATGAGGATGGACGCGTGGGTGACCTAAAGCTTCCAGGCTGGTGTTTGTACTTTCTGTTACTGCAGTGAACTGCTCTACATATCTAAGTTGGTAAATAAGGACATGAGTTAAATATATTTATATGTACATACATACATATATATCCCTTTACATATATATGTATGTGGGTGTGAGTGTGTTTATGTGTGGGTGTGTGTTACATACACAGAATCAGGCACTTACCTGCAAACTCTTGTAGATCTGCAGGTGTGCGTCCCATGGCAAACAGAGCACCCTGTAGGCAGAGTCTAGTCTGGCACTTCCTTGGACTACTTGTTTCATAAGATAACCAGTTTTTGCAGAGAAACGTGTACCCATATATATAATTCTCCCACACTAGCTTGCAGAAACCTAGAGGGCCCCTACTTGTTTTATTTAACTGTGCGGTGACTGTAGTTACTTAAGAAAAATGCTTTGTAGAACAGAGCAGTAGAAAAGCAGGAACCAAGAAAGCAATACTGTACATAAAATGACATTTATATTAATTACCCACCTGGCATGGGTCTCTGTTGCAAAGAGGTGCATGGGAAAGGGCTGTTGATACTAAAAACAAAAAACAAAACAAAAAAGCCCCACACATAACTGTTTTGCACGTGCAAAAATGTATTGGGTCAAAGAAGTGATCTTTAGCTAATAAAAAAGAGAATAGAAAACACGCATGAAATATTCAGAAAATATTAGCCTAGAAATATAGAGCATTAACAGTAAATTAATATATTAAGTTATAATTGGAATATGTCAGAAGTTTCTTTTTACATTCATATCATAAAAATTAAAGAAACTGATTTTAGCTCATGTATATTTTATATGAAAGAAAACACCCTTATGAATTGATGACTATATATAAAATTATATTCACTACTTTTGAACACATTCTGCTATGAATTATTTATATAAGCCAAAGCTGTATGTTGTAACTTTTTTTTTAGAGAATAGCTTTATCTTGTTTTGACTTTCTAGTTTTATTTTAAGAGGGGGAAAAAAAACAAAACAAAAATATCTTGCAAGCAGAACCTTGGAAAAAAAAAGCCATGAACACTTATTACTCTATATGTAAATTAAAAGTTGAGCCAAACTCTTTGTGTATATAGAATCTTAAATATATTATCACCTTTGATGTAAGTACCTATGTATTGTATGGTCACCAGATTAAAAAGTATATTTTTGTGGATTGCCGCCAATTTAGGGGGAAAAGGCGAGATCCTTATTAAGTAGAGTATTCACTGTTTAATATTTACTATTTTGTTAAATATACTGTACTTTGGATTTTAATTATTGGCCCAGTCTTTTCAGAGGATTGTATAAAGGGGTTTCTCCCCTCACTGGTGGTGAATGTGTGATGTTACATTGTAATCTTTGTGCTGTATGGGTTGAGCATCATTATATATTTTATATGTGTATATAAATAGCAAAGTGGCAAAAAAAATTGGTGTTAAGTTCATCCTGCATAAATGTAAAATGTGTTGTGACAGATTTTATAAGGCATTATTTAAAACTTGCCTTTTGTGAGGAAAAAAATATAGTAGAAAAGCTGACCTAATTTAATTAATATTAGAGAAAATGGCAAAATAGTTGATGAGCACAAAGGTTTTATAAGTGGTAAATGATTAGGAAAAAATATTCGTGGGGAAAGGGGTCTTTTTTCCTTGACCCTCTAAAATAGCATGATGCAGCTGGTTACAGAATACTACCATGCTGGACACTCTGTGCATCGAATGACACTGCAGTGTGGGGAGCAGTCCTCTCATGGTGCCGATTCTTGGCACATCCTGATGCCCTCAACTGAGATGCTGACCAAGGCCTTACTCTCACAGGAAGACAGCTAAGTGGTAACAGCAACTTGGCAGGTCCCTGGGCTTGTGCCATGAACAAAATTCAAAGTCCTGTATGTCTTTCATCATTGATTTTTAAATACTCCCTTTCCTGAGAAACTCAAAATAAGGGTTTAAAATTACTGCTATTTTCTATCTTAATATTAAGCAGCTACCTAGAATTTTTACTTATGTTTTGGTTTTTCCCCCTAAATTGCGTTCCTTGTGATGTTTTCCTCCTATGCTCTTTGTGACAAATCGTCAGCCAGACTTCCTGGCTGACACATAGGTAGTAGGTACAGGATAAACTTGTGGCATTCCCAGCTGCAAAATGGAATTCTGCTTTTAATGACATTTTCGGTATTAAATTTTGATAGAGGCCAAAAAAGGGAGGGCAATATGCTTTCTCCTCTTGTCAGTTTAGACATTTGGCTCTTATTCAGAAAGGACTGGTTTTTCTTTAAAATACACTTATTTTACTGAACTACTTACAGGCACATTTCTTCATGAGGTCACACCTAATTGAAAGAAGACAGTTTCCCAACACTGAATTTCCAGGATAATCCTTACCACTTTGTAAACCATTTATAGCTTTGGAAGTGTTCAGTGCTTCTTTGGTTGTTATTTATGCATGTTCATGAACTTCTGCTGTACATGGGATAGGAGTTAACACATTCACATTTACTGTCTATTTTCTTGTGTGCCTTATGAGATGGCTTTTCTGACTGTATCTCAGTAGTCTTTCTTTCTATGCAGGTTTATAATCAGTACAACTACTGTTTTCTAAAATAATATTACGCAAGGCTCGGAGTTTGTATTTCAATTACACTGACCAAGTAACAATGTATTCCGTTTTCAGGAACTGAGTATTTGACTGTTAACCCTTTTCCCATATACCCAGTGTGACTTAGAGCATATGGACTTGACAGAGACGCCCTCACCCAGACCCCATGTATGAACACATAAACATACATGTCTCCTGGTGGAAACCAGCTCAGAGTGGGGAAGACACTAACTGTGTCACTTTAGAACCTACTTTTCTACCCTTTTAGACTCATGTGTTTTGTATGACACCATCATAAGAAATTTTATCCCTGCAGATGAAGTATTTTATTACTAAAAGACAAAAACAAAAAAAGCTTAAATTGCACTGGTTAAAGTACAGTTTCCAGCAGCTGTACTTCCTTCAGCAGTCTACCTGGTACTACATTGAGAGTGAAAGTCACCATTGTACATCTACAGATGGTCCCAATCAAAAATCAATCTTTTGAGCCCTAATTATGTCCATTGTGTTAGAGACTAAATCAGGGGTTTGTTCTAAAAGAACAATATATGTTTTACCATTTCCTTTTACTGTAAGGACAACTAATAAAGCATTAACATATTTTCTGTATTAACCATCATGCGCACAAGAAATACATAGTAAATAAGGAACCAGAAAACTCCTGGCATTGGATCATAAGAAGCTAGATGATTAGAATGTGAAAAAGATTTTACAAATGTAAAACTTTTATTTCTCTGTAGAAACTTCACTTTGCTGTGCAAGAAGACACTGCTTTGCTATATTTAAAATGGCTTTTTTAAAAGAGATTTATGTATTTGGTAAATGTTTGTAGTCAACAGTTCACACAAGAAGCTGTACACGGTTTGATCATGTAAAACCGTTTGGCGGCACAAGCTGGACTTTGTTGCCATCCTTGAGATGAACCTTTTAAGAAAAATAAGTTAATCTCAATTTTTCCCTGAATGTGTTTTTTTTCTTCATTATACAATAAATATTATAGTGAACTTTTTATCAAATGGTTAAGAAAATGTTAGAGGTTGTTGTAAACTCTTTGTATCCTGCACTCACTACAGTAAAGATGGACTGGCTTTTCCTGTGTACTCCAGACTCTGTCATGTTTGCCACCAGTCGTCCTCTTTTCCCTTCCCCTTCCTCTCTCCCTCCCCTCCCTTTCCCTTTCCCTCCTCCTTCCCCTCCCCTCCCCTTTTCTGCCTGCAGGTCCCTTTCAATTGCTTTGAGATGTGGTCAGGGAAACTGTTGGCCTCTCCTCCTGGGGCGGCCCTGGACGCTTTAGGAAGCAGCCAGGGATCCAGTCCCACCAACAGCCAGCCTGGCCGTTCTGTGCATGCTGGTGTGGATACATTAAACCCATTCAGTCTCTGATCGTGGCTTCCTGCAGAATATGCTACCAAAGTGTGGGGGTGGGGCCTTGCCGGCACTTACTATCCTCCGAGTCTATTTCTCCCTCGAGTTTAGGTGGTGAAATAATTTGTTTTACTCAACATGCATACATAATACTGAGCTGGGGTGGCAGAAGACAGATTTACTAAAAAAAATTTTATTTTCAAAAGTGATAGATGTGAAAACTTCAACTTGTAGCAGAAAGAGTTCTTTTCCTCTGATTCGCTTTCTAAGCCATCTCCCAGCTAAGCAGATTCTTGCTGTCAAATTAAAAGCTAAATTTCTGTACTGTCTTTACTTGCTGGCTACTGTGATATTCTTACTAGCAGGTTTTGAAAGCTGGTTGAGGCCTGTGGCTAAAAATAATCACACCGGCAGCTACTTAATTCATTGCGATTTCCTAGTTGGCTCCCGTGGGTGCTGCCTCCCTCTAGGCTCTGTCTTGTTTTTCAGTTGATTCTGTGACTGACATCAGCCAAGAAAATGACTTTTCGGTGATGTCTTCTGCCAGTGGGATGGCTCCTCCTGCCTGCTCCCATCTGCCTGTCCAGTCCCTCACAAGGGGTCAAAGTACCACTTGGCTGTAGAACTGAGGAGGCAGCTGTCTTCCTTTCAGCTGACACAAGAGTTGGGAGGTTCCAGTCACCTGGAACACTACGGGGAGGGGCTCATGGGGGCTGAGTGGACACGTGCCGCCAGGCAGAGCGTGCTTAGCCCAGCGAGTGAGAGGTGGGCCCCAGCCCATGACTGCACGTAGCTGGGGTAAATTCCCACCTCCACCGCAGTGTCTGCTTCCTAGAGGAACCAAACTAACAGGGCGGCTTACCCAGCTTTGAGAACATGCCCTAGACTCCAGTCACTGTCTTAACACACAGTCTGCCTGCTCTTTGTATACCAAAGCGCCTGAACGCAGCTGGGGAAGAAAAAAATCAGTTATACTAACTGGTTTCACCACATTATCCTCCACCACCCTTTTTTTAAACTTTATTTTGAACTAATTTTTTAACTTACAGAAAAGTTGGAAAAATAGTAGGTTCCATATGTCCCTCACTTACTTACATAACCATAGTACCACTATCAGAACCAAGAAATTAACATTGATACAGTGCTATTAACTAAATAAATACCTTATTTGAATTTCACCACTTTATCCACTATCTATGTTCTAGGATCCAATCCAGGATCCCACATTGCATTTAGTTATGTCTCTGTAATAGTTCCTCAGTCTTTTCTTGTCTTCAAAAAGACAAGACACTTGAAGAATACTGATCAGTTACTCTGAATAGTATCCCTTGATGTGTGGATTTGTCTGTTTTCTCTTGATTGGAATGAGTGTGCATTTTGGCAAGACTGCCACAGAAATAATGTATCCTTAAGGCATCATGCAGTTCATGTCATTTTGTACAGGTGATATTGACCTTGACCATTTGGTTAAGTGGTTTCTATTGGGTTTCTCCACTGTAAAGTTACTATCTTTCCCTTTGTAGTTGATAAGTATCTTGGGGAGATACTTTGAAACTATACATAGGTTTTTCAAACTTTCACCTACTAATTTTAGCATCTTGTTTAGAACAACTATTTCTGTAGTATTTGCCTGTTTTCTTCTACATTTATTAATTGGACTTCTGAAGGAAGAGCTGTCTCTTCTCCCCACTAATTTATTCGATCATATTAATTATGGAATCATGGATATTTTATTCTATGGGTTATAATCTAGTACTATCATTATTTTATTCCTTAAATTATTCCAGTTTTGGCCATTAAAAGCTCCTTTAGGTAGACTCCTGTGTTCTTTGGAAAAGCTCCTCCCCACTTTTTAAGCATTTCCTTACCTACCTTACTTTGTGGCACGATGTTAAACACTCTCATATTCATTCCCTGTCCAGGTACTGGAACAGCCACCTCTCCAAGGATTCCTAGTTCCATTTATCGGAGAATGGCATTGAGAAGCCAAGATTTTGGCACTACACGTGCTCACTGCTACTAGAGTCACTGCTTTTTGGCCCTCTCTGCCAACAAAGCTAGGAAATAATGTAGGTATGCTCACTCACAGACACATATCCATATTCTGCAGCTAGTTATTGAAACGTGTATGTGAAAAAACATGAGCTTACAGTAACACTTCCAATTTCAATTCAACATCACAGGGTTCATTTTAACCTTTCCTTATTTGTAAATTCTTTCTCCTAAGGTAAGAACCTGGCTCTCATTATCTGCAATCTTTTCACTTACTTGTTCAGTTCTAGCGTACACATAAGGTAGTTTCAGAATTGCCAGGCCAGGGACTTCCCTGGTGGTCTAGTGGTTAAAACTCTGCACTTCCACTGCAGGGGACACGGGTTTGATCCGTGGTCGGGGAACTAGGATCCTTCATGACGTATGGCATGGGGGAAAAAAAATATTGCCAGTCCACACCTGCGTGAGAAACACATTTATTGACCAGATTAGAGCATTTGTGTAGTTCTTTTTCCCTCTGGCTTTACATTATCCAGTGAGGACAGTGTTTTCCATGGTTACTTTATGTTCCCAACCACCTTCAGTGTTAACGTTATTCAATACAATATAGTTAGGATCTCTTGTTGGCTTTTATTTCATTTCAGGTACTCCCCCTCATACTAGTTGGTTTTAATTTATTTGATAAGTGAATGGTATCTGAAACATTATTATGGTCTAAGAGAGCTATACAAAAGATACAGTAATGTCACTCTTTTCTCACCCCTGCTACCCCATCCCCCTCCCTGACTTTTCCCACCAGCCCTCTATGGATAACCAGTCTCCAGCTTCTGGTTTAATCCTTCCTGTGTTATTTCTTTTGCATAAATTAGCATTTTGGTGGGTTTCTTTGTTTTGTTTCTTTTGCTTTCTTCACTTAAGGTATGTCTGGTATAAACAAGATATAAACTACTCACTCCTGAACAAACTAATGGGTCAAAAAAGAAATCAGTCAAAAGGGAAATCAAGAAATATTTTGAAACAAATGCAAGTGGAAACAAAACATACCAAAACCAATGGGATGTTGCAAAAGCAGTTCATAAAGGGAAGTTTATAGTGATAAATGCATTTATAAACAAAGAAAGATCCCAAATAAACAACCTAACTTTACACCTCAAGGCACTAGAAAAAGAACAAACTAAGCCAAGGTAAGCAGAAGGAAGGAAATAACAGATCAGAGGGGAAATAAAGGAAATAGAGATCAGAGCAAAAATATAAAAGATTCAAAACCAAGAGCTGTTTTCTTTAAAAACAAAATTGACAAAACTTTAGCTAGACTAATTAAGAATAAGAGAATACAATCAGAAATGAAAGAGGCAATATCACAACTGATAACAGAAATACACAGCATCATAAGACATTACAAGGAACACTTGTATACCAACAAATTGATCAACAGAGAAGAAATGGATAAATTCCTAGAAACATACAACCAACCAAGACTGAATCAGGAAGAAACAGAAAATCTGACTAGACCAATAACAAGAAGATTCAATCAGTAATCAAAAACCTCCCAACACAAAAAGCCCAGGACCAGATGGTTTTGCTGGTGAATTCTACCAGTTAAAAAATTAATGCCAATCCTTCTCAAACTATTCCAAAAAACTGAATTGGAGGTAACACTCCCAAACTCTTTTTATGAGGCCAGGACTACCCTGATAACCAAAGCCAGATAAGGACAATACAAGAAAAATTACAGGCCAGTATCCCCAATGAACAGAGATGCAAAAATTCTCAACAAAATATTAGTAGAACAAATTCAATGGCACATTAAAAGGATAATACACCATGATCAAGTTAGATTTATCCCTGGGATACAAGGGTGGTTCAACATATGCAAATCAATCAATGTGATGTATCACATTAATAGAATGAAAGGTAAAATTCATATCATTTCAATAGATGCAGGAAAAGCATTTGACAAAATAAAACATCCTTTCATGATAAAAATGCTCAGTAAAGTGGGTATAGAAGGAGCAAACCTCAATATAATTAAGGCTTTATATGACAAACCCATACCCAACCAACCCACAATCATATGCAACAGTGAAAGGTTGAAAGCTCTTCCTCTAACATTAGGAACAAGACAAGGGTGCCACTCTCACCGCTCTTGGTCAACATACTGGCAATCCTAGCCAGAGCAATCAAACAAGATAATAAAATAGAAGATTCTGGAAAAAATGGCTATGTAAAAGATCCCGGCTTCCCTGTCCCTCAGCAAAGATCAATGATTAGGCAGCTATCCACAAACAAAAACAGCTCCAGGAAATCTCTAGAATCCACTTATGAAATTTTAGCAACATGGTGGGGGAAAAAAAACAAAACCAAAAAAACCTGAGAATAACTGCACAAGAAGAGAAGGAAGACAACTACATTTTGCGTGTATCATCCCATCCTCCAAGACAGTATTCAGCACCAAGAAGGCCAGCTACTAAGAGTGCCTCTGAGTGGGAGACCTGCCCTGCAGACAAGCTCAGCAGCTTCCACCACTGATGAAGTCACCAGCCAGCTGCTCAGATTTACCAGCCACACCACAGGTATTTACATTCCCTAATGCCAGCCAGTCGAGCTTCAGTCCAATCCCTCCCTGCTTCCTAACCCCCTCCCCGCAACCCGCTGCCTCCTGCAAGAGCCTGG